ACTATAAACAAATAAAAGTGCGTAACTGGATGACTTCCGATATAGCAATGGATGTTAAAAAAATTGGTTACATACGAAGAAAATAAGCCATAGATTTGTGGTTCTATCGACAAATATTAAAATGGTAAAATCCGATGTCAGTCACGAAATGAATTTAATAAGAAATATAAAGAAATTAATGCTAACAATCAGAATGAAACTGCAGACGTTTTTAAGATACATACGGAAAGAAGGTTTATAAATTTTAACACTCGCAGGATACATCAAAATCAAGAGAAGCAGACGATGCCGCGAGTCACTTACCAGACAAGTTTGAGCAAATGGATGGATGAAATAAGTACTACAACGAAAAAGAAGGGCCTTAAATGAGAAATTATTACTTAAAATAAAAAATAAAACTGTAGAGAACGAACATACTACAGAGAGAGGAAGAGAGAGATAGCACTCAAATTAATCGAGAATCAACACAACATAATGTGAGATTTTTGACAATATCCTATAACAATCAGATTGATACATGAATATTGTATGAGCAACGAGTAAATATGATCTATTAATTGCATCTAATGTTTAGCAATTTCATCTTTCGCATTATAAAAGGACTTGAGGCGTATGAATTTCGTTTTGATATGGATTCAATAAAATTTCTTCAAGTGCTCTATCCTACTTTCAAAGAAAAATGTCGAATCAGTTTGAGCAGGGCATTTAAATATATTTAAGTAAATCATAAGTCTACATTTTGTACAGAGTAAAAGCAACCTGTTTTCGCACTAAACGAATGATTCTAAGGGCAGCTATAAAGCTCAGTATTATAGAAAGTGATTTTTAAAAAGAGCAGTGCCATTGAAAATCTCTGCAGTTTTGTTGAATAGAGACTGCAACAAATAACTAAAGTATTTTACTTCAGAATAACTGACATCATAACTTAAAGAAGGCGGGCATTTTGCCGTTGATTGATTTGATTTTTTACGTCTTATCAACACATCGTGGGTTATTTAAAGCCGAAATATATTTTTGGATTGTAAGAATAATTCTTTTGACGAGTGAATATTGCATTAAATTTTTTTAGAATAATATTTCTACATAAAGTCCGACTATAACTGGGGAAGGAGTTGGATTTATATCTTTCTCAAATATATTTTCGTCAGTGAATGTAACTCGACTCGATTTCTCATTCCGAACCTCGATTCATTACACCAACTGCACATCTACGCGTGTTGCCCCATGGTTAGGTTCTAAATTGACCTAAATATGAAATCTGATATTTTCATGGTGTGTCGACTTGAGCAAACATATAATACTTGTCTCAAACTATCTACAACAGAATACGTGTTTCAGTGTATAGAAATGTTTTAACTTGTGTAGAATAAGCAAATAATCTTTTCGTTATTTTGATGGGTATGACAACAATTTGCATATTACAGTGAATTGAATATGCGATTTCAGTTATTGTCAAGCGTTTCCTTTTAAACGACATTTGTATTAATCATTACTTCAGAGAATCTGTCGAAGAAATCAAAACTAAAAATAAGAAGCCATTACGAATGAAAACAATAAAAACACATTCGAATAAAAATTCATATTTAGGATAGAAGTAATTGTCGAAAGGTCTCACACATTGAGACTGAAGATTCGGTAGGCTCGGAGAAACTGTGTTAAAAAAATTAATAAAATATAATGGCGATTGTAATAATGTGGATTGGGTAGGTCTGTATTTATGTAAAAACATCGTTCATTACTTTTTTACCGACTGGCTATATTCAGAAAATACCTTAGCAATTATTGTAATATGGTCTCGGAGAAAATACTACTAAAAGACATTATGACTTCTTTCCGATAGTCATTTTTCTTTCTAAAAATGTTAATGCATAGTTTAATTTTTTTCTGTTTGTAATTGTTCATTTGTATCACGTTCAAATTAGTATCATTTCGGTTGCACAAGAATCAGGCGTAACTGCAGGTTTAAGGAATGTCAACAAGGAATGTTTGAAATTTTTGACTCAGTGGTTCAAAGGGTACGGTACTGTTTTATCTAGTTACATAAACATAAGGGGCTGATAAAGCAAGTATCATGGCTGCAGTGTAGTTTATCAAATGAGAAAGCAAGAAAAAAAAGCAAGAATGAAGTGCGAAATTGAAGAAAATATCAATGAATACTGCACTAGTTTAAATAACAAATTCTGGAGGTTTTTCATCAAAATGGATAAAAGTTGGAAGTTTTTAATGTTATCCCCTAATTTATTAATATAAAATGTGTGTCTCAAAAAGATAAACAAAAGCAAAAATAGTTTTGGAGAGCTTGATTAATACATTTTTATGAAAAGAATTGGTTAGCCTCAGAATAAATATGGTGGAATTAGTAAATTGACAGAAAAATAGATAAGGAAGATTTATACAAATAATAAATAATATTGATAGAGAAGATAAGACACATATAGAGAAAGTGCATACGTTATAGATACGCGAGAGAAAGGAGACGTAAAGAAAGTTCCATGATCAGATAAGCTGAGAGATAGTTATAAACATCGAATAAGTAAAAATTGTTTCAAAAAGTATTGCTAAATAGATAGGTAGACATTTTGAGAAAGAAAATAGATAAAATCCAACGCAAGAAGTATTTAGTTGAAGCGTATATAAAAAAGTCGATAAATAAATAGGTGGCTGCGTGTGTAAGAAGGCTGAGAAGAAATGATGATTGTGTGGGTGTATATAATCACTGTTTGTTCTCACAAATATATCTACATACATATATATTGGTATATTTCATCAGGTTGTTCAACAGAAACTGTTGGCTTATTTGCACAAATTAAATTTTTAAAAATTACCGAAAAATGTTTATTCAATGAAAAACATTTCATCTTTTGCTTTGATCCAGTATTACACTTTGTTGGGCAGGTCATCATTTAAAATGTTGATGAATTAATTGAAGACTTCAATGTGATCATGAGTGTTATGGTCTAATACTTGAAGTAATAAAACAACGCAGATTTTGGTCATATTCTTCAATTTGTGTAGTGTAGTTTTATTATTAATAACTACGTTGACTCTAGTTAATTCGGATCTTTTCAACAACCTTTCTTGTGGTATATTATGAGTGCTATCACCTTCTCATAAAGTTGCTTTCTATAGGAAAATAACGAAAACAATGACTATGTGCATATAATAGTCCTTGCATATATTGAAAAGTATAAGGGAGAAACTAACTATACTATAAAGGTCAGACAGGATTAGAATCAGAAAGTCATTATACGAGATGCAAAAAGCAAATCAAGCTTAACAGAGCATGTATATAAAGCAATTCTCTGTTGGAATTAGTTAAACGTAACACACAGAACAAAGATGGAAAGTCCAGAAAGTGAAGTCTATCTATCTATCTATCTATCTATAAACTGAATGTACATTTTAACATCTCAATGGAAACTGTTATCTGATATCAATACAATGCCATTTTAAAATCACCAGTTATAGTATTGTGAAATCCTGATAATTGAATCAACACAGAGGCAAATCTCACTACTTCTCTCAAACTTAACACTCAGATCCAACGACACAGTTGTCTCGGCGTCTTCGGAGGGGTGACAAAAAGAAGAAAAGGTAAAAGTTAATTCTAAAACAGAATATATGAAAAAGCTTGAAAATTTATCACTAAACTTTCGGTTAAACGCCACAAAAATGAAGACAGTTATTTGAAAAAACATGGAATAATGAACAAAAATATATGACCAGCAATATGTGAGAAGAATGACAGCTACTGTCTTACAATCGCACCATATACTAGGGTTAGCCAGTATCATTCACTTCATTTTAATGTGTTGAATAGCGCAGTTATAGACCAGATGAAAGATTTGTTAGAAAAGCTAAATTTTTATGACCAGAAGTAGGTGTCAGGACGTTTTCAGAACGGCTTATGATTTGACCACATTCACTAACAAAAGTGAATTTGGTTAACAATGGTGTGGGATGAAAAAGCACAAACTACCGACAGCTCACTGGATATCTGATGCATGAGAAAAGGCCTGAAGAACGAACCAATAAGAGGGATACTGTGGAAGTTGAAGATAGCTTTAATAAAAGTGAAGTAAGGCACACAAAATATATCGATCTTTGCATCAGATTCAGTATCCGTCGTTACCCTGTAGAAGTGATAACATTAAGATGCGTTTCTAGGAAAAAAAGACAGTGAAAGTAGTGTGCTAGTGTTTAGCAACATTCTGCTGGGAAACATTCATGTGGAACGTAATTTCTTGCGTACGACATTGTAGAAGAAAAAGGTTGACATAAATGAGTGTACCTGATCTTCATTAATGCAAAGGTTGGCAGTAATATTAATTAAAACAGGAAAGTCAACTTTTCATAGTAGCAGTCTTCTCTGATATTAGTGACGGCTTTCAGCACGAGAATACGTCTTCATAAACAGCACGAGATTTACGGGAACGGTTTTGGGAAAAGGAAAAAGCCTATATTATGTTTTGGTTACCAAACAATTCTTCATTTTTAAATTTGAAAACTTTCCAAACTTGTTCGATAAATAACTTGCAAGAATATTAATTGAAGGTAATACTTCAAGTTTTTGTTGACTCATGTGCAGAAGTAAATAATCATGAATTAAGAAAATTATTTTCAGATTTGAGAAATTTCTTTTAAGGATGCCAAAGTAAACAACTTACTAAAATTTAAGACTTCCCGAGTTTTTCGATACTGTAAATAAAATGTTGACATATGTAGATTTGAACGAATGTTTCTGTTGATAATCATAGCAATTAATAAATAAAAATGTCGTTTTTGATAAAAATCTGCAAAGAAATAAAATCTTAATCTAAAATAGAAGCAGTAAACTAAAGTGATACAATCTCCGATAACTGGATTTTTCTAACATAAACATGAATATCAATCAGGATACATAATTTGAGACATCTAGAAAAATTAATATTGATAAATAAGATGCGAATGTATGAAAATAGTTTTGCAATAAAATATTTCAAAATTTTGCGTGGCTTCAGCTTTCATTTTTCTCCATCATTGGATCCAAATTCTTCTTTTCTATCATTGGATCCAAATTCTTCTTTTCCATCACTGGATCTAAATTCTTCTTCTCCATCACTGGATCCAATTTTTTTTTCTCTATCATTGGATCAAAATTCTTTTTCTCCATCATTGGATCAAAATTCTTCTACATCATTGAATCCAAATTCTTTTTCTTCATCATTGGATCCAAACTTCTTTTTCTTCATCATTGAATTCAAATTATTTTACTTTATCATTGGATCCAAAGTCTTCTCCATCATTGGACCCACATTCTTTATATTTACATTTCTTTTTTACCGAGGTAACTTGTTAATGGCATCTCTGATATCTACGGATTCTCTATTCAGTAATATTTACAAATATGTCAAGTGTAGGTAATTAAAAAAATTTAGATTCGAACGATGTTTAAATCTAAGCAATCACTGATGCAGACTTATTGAGTGAATCACTTTATAAATCTAAACTACCAAATAAAAGCAACTAATGAGAAAAAGGAAAGAGATTCAACGATTTGTTTCAATGCTCGAATGTTTTCATATTTTTTAGAAGCATTTACCGAACTTTTAGGGTATCAAGAAATTTCTATGCTGCTGTCATATTTTTGGAGTAGCTATTTATTACATGCACAATACAATTGTACATAATTAAAAATACAATTATTGTTTAAATTAATTTGTACCGCTATATTATTTTTATATTTTTCAGTAAAATTACTGCATTCAAAGGCAGTAAACAAAGTTAAAGTAATTTTTAATTTCAAAGTTGTATGACTATTTTGAAAACTTGTCAATAACTGATATAATTTAAATTTGCCAAATCATATGCTTTTCAAATATTTACATCCGTGAAAATTCTTCAAAAGGATTTTGGCAACATATGGAACAAAATTTCGCTATCCAATTTAGTAGCTCCTGAAAATGGATACCAATAAAGCTTCTGAATCCAGCAGAAAAAGAACAGTTCCATGTTTTATATTTAGTTCAGTGTGCAAAACAGTGAAATCTTATTAAACTGAAAATCTCAAGCCAAATTAAACTCAGTGATAATTACTCATCACAACTAACAGAGACAGAAGAATTCGAATTCAGACCGTAAAAAAGTGCTTTTTCCAGAACTAATTTACTCGACGATACCAACATAGTTTAAATATAGACTCACTAGTAGCAACCCGAAGGTATTTATTTCAAATATCATTTTCCCTGGCTAAGAACCCTACTTTGTTCAACAGAACAGTCCACATTGATGCGAGGTTGCTTATATAATAGATCTTGAACAAAAGGTGTAATTCAATTGGTCATTGCGTCTTCAGTAACTAAACGAATCTGGTACAAAAAACACAGTTGTGAACTATTTTCTTTTCCCACTTAGCTATTGTTATTCTTAAAATATGCACTGCAGCGAATTCCCGATTAGTAATTTGCCCAAAGTCACACTTCTATTAGCTTTGTTGCAGTTCTTTCCATTCGTTTTTATGGTTCCACGGCCTGAAGCAGTCATAATATGAAAGAAGTACTCATTTTGTAGCTTTTGAAAAGAATTTATTCGCCGAGTAAAAAGTAAATATTTCACATGTTACATAAATTTTTCTCGATCCTTATTTCAAAGGAGACAAAATCCACTGTGCATATGCTGAACTTTATGAATCAGCCTTTAAACATATTTCTAAAATGATGGTTACATAGAATTGGCATCTTTTTATTGATTGAATTAGCGGTTTTGTGATTGGAGATACAAGTGCTCAAAACATTTTCGTTTAGAGGCAAGAAAATATGTATAAAACAAGAATTGAAACACAGTTTAAACTAAATCCCATAAAAATGCATTTTTATGTTTGAAAAGGACCCACATTATTTTAGGCCTCCACGTCTAAATAGGATTAAAAATATGATTAAATCAATTTCAACATAAAATAGGATTTTATTCTGATACACACAACCTCGTAATAGTCGAAAAGTTTCTCGATAGACAAGCAATCAGGGAAGCAATTGAGATGAGAATAAACTATACTTAAGTTTTCCAAGCAATTAATTTCAGGCTCCTGATTGGCCAATTTACATGTCACTTAAACCATCCAATTGGCTAATTTACACGTCACTTAAACCACGCAATTTTTCAATACAATTAAATCCGCACCTCGACACAAAATGTTACACACAGTCACTAAAAGTGTACTTCAAAACTCTTCAGCGTCTCGATTGATTGCAAGTCAAAGAATAAAAATCGAAATTTTCATCTGAAGTGAATGTAAACATTTACACCACAACCACTCCCGAAATAATTCTCTTAAGTGCAATAGCGTACAAAAACATAACATCACAAAGCCATAAAACATACCTCTGTAAATCAGTGTACAACTGCGTTTGAGAAGTGAATTGAATTTTTCTTCTCTCATCTAAGTATTTTAAAATATTGCAGGATGTGTAATTGAAATCAAACAAAATCAAAGTAACTGAATATTCAGATCAGGTATCAGATAAGCTTTGTTGATTAAAATTAATTCTCTATCCTTTGGTGATATTAATCAAAACAGCTGCATTTCCGAAATGCCCACATTCATTTTGTTTATTTTATTATATTCTGAGAATAAAACTACGATATTTTTATACAACTAAAACTTTTAATGTTGTTGAAATTGAATAATAAGTCATTGCAAATTAACAAAATCGCGTTAGTATTTTTTCGAGAAGCAATTATTGCCTGCATGTTCGTATCAATGATCATTCGGATTCAATTTGTCTTTAGGCCACTTCTTTCAATCAACATACACTGAATGTAGAGCGTGTTTTAGGAAACGTTAAGCTTTTTAATTCAACAAAAATATCAAGATATTATTCCTTCTGGATTGTCACAGAAAATGCAGCCATCGAATGTTCATTATATTAAAATTAGGTACCTCCGATAATTGGCTAAAAAGCATGATGATAAAAGGCCCCAAACTTAAGAAAGACACAGTTTTAACTTCAAAATGTTTATGTTATATTAAGAGGAAAAACAAAGTATTTTTTAATTATTTAAAAAAAAATTATTCCTCCATTCTAACACTTTCTAAATTTGGCTCAAAAATCTGTTTTTTCTTGTCAACTTTGTAAGACTTGTGGTAATGGACATTTTTAGTGTAACAGTTTCCAATGTAAAACACATTAATTTTGAAATTCTTGCAAAAATCAAATAATTGACTGATTTTAATGAAACTTTCAGGACTTATTCAAAAATGAATGAATTTATTTCTGAAATTTTTATTTTTAGTAAAGCTAGGTAAAAATATATTTTTTTACAACTGTTACTCCACCCGTAACTGAATTTCGAGAAATTTTCTAAAATTTCAAATAGTTCGCAAATTGTTTTATATTACTTATCAGCAGAAGTCCTTGGAAAAAGTAAATATATCATTTTTTTCAATACTCCTCCCAAGAATCTGCTCCCAATCGTAAAATAAAAAACTGCAATAAAACTATCTAATTATTTAATTAGATAGGCTTTTATTTGATTTTATAAATAATATATATTAAGGACATTATTGTCTGCAGAAAAAAATTTTGATGAATAATTAATTTTTACAAGAATTGTTTGCATTTTCTTTAATTTTTGTAAGAATTGTTTCACTTTTCTACACAGTTTAAAAAGGTTTTATAATTCTTCCAAACAGAGTACGAGGTACGTTAAGTTATTAATTGACGACTATATTTACTAAGTGAAAACTAAAATCTTAATACTTTCAAAACGTTTTATCATAATTAAAGATATTTTTTGCGTCAAAAGGTTATATCTTTTATTAGTATGGTGTATCGTAAGTGATATTATGATTAAAAGGTCATGCATTTCAAACCTTTTTCCCTTTAGAGAAAGCTCATTGACATGATGGTTTTCGGCTTCGGGCAATACTATCATTTCACTTCCGTGTTTCATCGTTCCTACGTTTCAATAGGCTTCTTTTTAAATCTTGAAGGGATGATTTCTAAAGTTTTTTTCCCTATTTCACTAAATATATTAAATTTTGCTATGTATTCATCTTACTTTATAGTGTATATACTTTTCATAGTGTGTGTCAGGCATAACTTGTTTTATTTATTAGTTTTTTACTTACTTTAGAAATATAATTTGTTTTACTTTATTTTAAGTTTCTTTTCTTTTTTGCAAGTTAAATAAAAATAACTTTAACAATTCATAGCATCAAAGTATAACAATTAATAATAAAGAATATAAATATATTATCTCAGTTAGTTAAAAATTTAATAACTGAGAGTGAGTTAATAATTTAATTTTTAATTTAATAACTGAGATAATATAATTAAAATCATTGTACTATTTCTGTTATCAATTTAAAAATATAATAATTGAGAGTGAAAGAGTTATTATATTATCTCAATCTCAGTTATTAAATTAAAAATTAAATTTTGATAATAAAATTATCTCATTTATCAATTTAAACAATTAATATCTGAGTGAGATAATATAATTATTAATATAATAATAATTTTATTAATTTTATCTCAGTTGTTAAATTAAAAATGTAATAACTTAATTTATCAATAATTAATAAAATTATTTATAATTATCTTGGATATTAAATAATGTAAGAAATGTTATCAATAATGTATGAAATTTTTTATAGTATTTTAAATTATTATAAAAAAACGTTCTTACTTAGAATTCGTAAAATTATGTCAATACTGGTGCACCATACTAAACCTGTCAATACATTCAGCTATCAAATAAATGATGGAGACGTGAAAATAAGAAGACCTCGAGGTCAACAAATGTTTGTCTAGAAAATTTTATGCAGTAAGTGATATTTGTTTCAGCATAGATTAATTTAACTTTAAATTTGGTAATTTTACGAAAGTAACGTTTCAGAAATGTATATTTTATTTTAGCGGGATTTTCATTTTTGTTTACCTTTCTCTAAAAAATGCTAAAAATGGCCATTTCGGTTGTTTTTTCAGAAGAAGCAACTAAAAATCATTCAGATTTCTATTTTAAATACTCCACGGTATTTTTTTCTGGAATTAGAAAATTTAGTCCGTTAGCTTTCAATTGAAGCTGGGGGACAGCTTCAAAAATGATAAGCTGACAAAAGACTAAGCCAACATATATTGCCAGATATTAATTTTCCATTATAGATTTTCTTGCTTTATAATACAAACTTTTATAAACCATCACGCTTTGTGATAACAACTTTTTACCAAGACTTAGAGGCAATGAAGGTCATATG